TTGGACAGAGGACGTGTCGGGTGTTTGAAATCAATCTCTTCTTCCCTGGATCATTTCTCTTGTGCTCCTAAGAGGCTGCATTATATACAGCCATGTCAGGCCCCGAGCTCCATGACTTTGTTCATCAGGAACTCAAGGAATGTTTCAGTTTTTCCAGAAAATGTTTTCTGTGTTAGGCTTTGTTTGTACTGGAGCACTTTGAAGACGAAAATCTGAACTTCAGCATACTTGTAATACGTTTTAACAAGGTTTAAATTCACGCTGGGCCAAAATATTCCCCCCGCCCTGCCCCTTCTAACAACTTTTGGCTCTAAACATTACTCCTTTGAGGATTAAAAAAACCACAGAGGCATGTTTTATTAAAAAATATTTATTGAATATGAGTCACAGAAAAGCAGAGGTCAGAATCCTCAATTGCTGGTGGCATGCGTAAAATAATACGCTTCCTCGCCTGCACCGTGCATGGCGGTGGAGAGGCTGCGCCCGCATCCTGGGGTGCCGGTGTCCCCTGCGGGGTTGGAGCAAACGGCCGCCAACCCGGTGCGCGCACCGCTGGCACACGATGGGTTGTCCAAGCGGCACCTACCCTTGCTCTCCTTAGCTCCTTCCCAAGGCAATGTAGCATGGAGTTTTGTTCTAAAATGGCCCAAATGCATTTGGTTTAATGGACCCCTCCCCTATTTTTTATTTTAATTTAACTCATTACACCAAATCTCCAAGGCACAGGCTTTGCAGTAGGGTGGTCTTTGCTTAGACCCATGTGCAAAGGCTTTGGTGGCACTGTCTTGGTGGGGGATGGTCTTTAAACTGACCTGCCAGATGCATTGGATGTGCCAGACATCGTCAGGTCATCTCATTGTCAGCGTCGGAGACATATGTGGCACTGCCAAGATGTGGTGACGGCGCTTTGGCAGCGGCCGCTCTGGCACCAGGCTGTCTGGTGCTCTGGGAGGGAGAACCGACGTGGGGATTTGCTTTTAGAAAGCGATGAAACCCAAGGGCCCTCGTCTGTCCACTGTCATCTGAAAAATCTCTTTGTCATTTTTGTGCCAAGTGTTTAGCCCTTGGATTTTGAGCAAATTCTGGCTTAACTGTGTTGGTTTTTTTTTTTTTTGTACTGCCACAAACATCTGAAGCCCTGTCTGCAATCAGGACCAATCAGGTAATTAGAGACAGGTCCTGCCCCAGAGCTGACAAACTTGCAAGACAGGAGAAAGAACCTGCAGGTAGATTTTTAGGTTTGTTTTTAAAATGTATTAAAATTTGTTAATTTTTGAGGCTGGCTTATGATCATTCCAGAAAATGAAGTGACAAGAACTGAAAAGACCCATTTGTGCAAAACATCTGTTTTAAAAAAAAAACAAAAAACAAAAAACAACTTATTTTCTTTTTGCTTTCTGATAGTCTTGTGCTTTGAAATTGCATCTTTTAAGACGACTGAATGGTAACATAAGAAACTGGCCTTTTTTTTAGTGGTTTTGGTTTTTTCATTTTGCTGATCTTTGTCATGGGTTCAGATTTGCATCAAAAGAGACTTCACTCATGCAAGTCTTTGGATCTGAAGAGAGGTTGGGGGGGTTGGTTTATGAAGAGTAATCAAGAATTTTGAGATACATAAATTGCTTGAAAAGTTTTAGGCAGTCCTTTAACTTTCCATTTCATTTGGGTGATGGTCTTGTTGTACTGAATTTTCCAGTTAAGCAGTGGTGGTAGAAGTGTGCGAACACACAACCCAGTGCCAACATTTACCATGGCTTCTCTTCCTCTTTTCTAGAGTTCTTCAAAGAACTTCTTGAAAATGCTGAGAAGTCGCTGAACGACATGTTCGTGAGGACGTACGGCCGTTTGTATATGCAGAACTCAGAGCTGTTCAAGGACCTCTTCGTGGAGCTGAAGCGGTACTACGTGGGTGGCAATGTCAACCTAGAGGAGATGCTCAATGAGTTCTGGGCGCGCTTGCTGGAGCGCATGTTCCGGCTGGTCAACCCCCAGTACCACTTCACGGACGAGTACCTCGAGTGCGTCAGCAAGTACACTGAGCAGCTGAAGCCCTTCGGGGACGTGCCGCGGAAGCTCAAGCTACAAGTGACGCGCGCGTTCGTGGCCGCCCGCACCTTCGCGCAGGGCCTCGCCGTCGCGAGGGACGTCGTGAGCAAAGTGTCCGCGGTGAGCTCCATCTTGTGATTATTCCCATGTCCCATGGACCCGTGATAGGTAGCGTCTTTCCCTGTTGTCCTGACTGGATACCTAAAGACGTTGCTGGTAGTTGAGCGCAGGGGGAACCAAATTCCATCTGCGTAGGCTGTGCCATTGTGGAGTCGCATTCTGGGGACACCACCGTCCAGTGCTGCAGCCCAGTAGCAGGGATGTTGCCTAGGTTGATGCTGTCCTCCTGTCTAGGGAACAGCAACAAGCAGCAAATTAAATACCTTCTGCAGTGGAAATAACCATGCTTGCTTGTGTAATGGCTGTATCTTCTTCTTAATATTGCCTTCAAATTACAGCGAGTCATGGATGCTATGGGCATCTATTATGGAGCAGCTGATGATTTGCTCCTTGCTCCCAGGCATGGGGAGAGGCTGTTCGCATGAGCAAGCAGTACATTTATGATAACAATAAGCTGGAACCATGTGCACAGGGCAGGAGCCAGTTGGACTTGGTGGCACACACGCAGCATGAATTAGACCTCAGACTTCTATGGTAAAGTCACTTTTTTGGGGGATCAAACACATGTGATGTGTTGGTCACTTGAATGTTTACCTCCCTCTTCTTATAAACCACTTTGGAGTGGTTTAAGTGGGGTGACTGGTTTTTGTTTGGTTGTTTTTTTGACATCAGATTTGTCTGTAATATAGTCTGAGTTGTATGGTATGGGGAACAGGTGTAGTCAATAATCCCCTTAAAGTGATTGTGTGAGATAACAAATATTAATGATTTCCTTTTAAAAAAATCAGCTCATTTCCTGTGGGCTATAGAAAATTTAGTGTAATCATTTAATAGGGCAGAGAGAGGTTTACTTTCTCTCTACCTGGTTACAGAATAATAGAACACTAGGCTGAAAAGGGCAAGCAGTAGTTTGTGTCACCCTAAGTGCCAGGAAAGGAAGGGGGAAAAAAAAAAGTAGTAAAACAGAAAAGAATAACGGTTCAGGTACTCTTAGAAGCAGAATGCACTTTTGGAGGCAGCACAAGCAGCATTGTTAAGTGAGATAATCATTCAAATTGCTTTGACTTACAGGGATAATATTAAAATGCTGTCTCTCTGGAAAGAAAAAAAAAATCTGCTTCCATGTTAATTTTTCTTGAAGAGAAACAGCCTGCGATAAGCCTGCATGTGTGCGATAGGGCAGAGAATATTAGCAGGGGAAGAGCTGCCATCCTAATATATCCAGGCTCCAGGAGCAAGTTGTAAGTTAGCAGTGGCAGGTTTAGGTCCTTGGACACCTTCAGTCCCCATTTAATAGCGATGACTCTCATGTGAGACGTGTCTGCGTGCCGCCGGTTGAGGATGGGTGTTGTGGAGCTCCATGGGTGACATTCGGGGTCCCTCTTACGAGACTGCAAAATCTTCCAGCCTCAGGGACGCCGTCCTGTGGTGGGAAGGAGATGTGGGAGGGAGGGTTGGTGCTGGATGGGGCCAAGCGTTGTGTCTCCATGTCAGGTCACTGGCCAAGCCTGCTGGCCTCTTGGTTGGGGTTTCAAATTTGGTGACTCCTCTTTCTGGCTGTGTAGTGTTCTGGCAGGTATTGTGGTCAGAAAGAAAGGGAAAAAGGGTTTTCACTGCTGGAGAGTGCAGATGAAGTATTCGAGTGGGAGGTCCGTCCGCTAAGCCCCAGTACAGTTTTCAGGAATGTGCAATCACTTGATAGGCAGTAAACGTGCATGGATGAGGGATCGTGTTTATGCTCCATCTGCTCAGAATTCATCAAAATGTCTCCAGACTTGACACGGGACCACGAGGGCTACGGTCCCCGCATCTGTTACGAATCAGAGTCGTGAACCCGAGGTGGCGTCGTGATTTCTCTTTCTCTTTTGAAGATCCTTGAGTGTAGAGTTGCCTTCAACTCTAGAATTAATTGCTCAAGTGTGGAAGGTTACCCAGAGACCCACTCAGCTGCAAAAATAGCTCACACGCCGTGGACGATCACAGTTACCGCACTTTCTGCTTCAGTTTCACAAGTTGCACTGGAAATCCTGCAACAGATTGACTTTTCAAACTGGCAGCAAAAGTCCCTGCTGCTGAATACCTAAGCTTTAGTTGCAACAGTGGAAGGAGTAATAATCTTTTCTATAGTGTTTTAATCTCATTCAGTGGAAATCTAACATCCCGTTTCTGCAAGACACAATGGGAAATTCTATACGCAAGTCTAAAAGCTGATGTTTTTATGCCTGCTGCTTTGCGGTTGTGTTTTGGGGCTTCCCACGTTACATATAGATTAGCCCAGCTTTGCTGAGCTCTATATAATGACTCTATTGACTTTGCTTCCTTATTATTTTTACTCAGGAGTTATAGTGGGATGACTGCTTATACCAGGGATTAACTTGAGGGATAAATCTTTTATTCTTTATGAAAAAATGTCCAAAGTAATGCAAATTAGTTTTACTTTTAATGCGTTGTGTAACAAGCGAGTTAAAAATGTTTAATTGAAAATCCTCAGGAGGAGAAATACAAACTACTGCAAGACCCAGCTGCTTTTTACTTTCCCAGGGTGCTATCAGGAGAGCAAAGAGCACTTTACAGTAGAACAACCTTAATGGCTTTTTAATGATCCTATATATTTTTACATCTTCACTAGGGAGATGCATTTAGAAAGGTGTTGTTCTTGTGTGAGTTTGGGAGTAAAGGGGGAAAAGAAGAGAGAATATTGAAAAGCTGCAAATATGCTTGATTTCTGAGCCAGAATGCTAGGAAATAACTTTAATTTGGCATTGGATGGATCAGAAGCCACGTGCTGCCACCCAAACACAAAATAGAGAGAAAGCACAGACTTTTTTCAAACTGTGTCTTAAAAACATAGTTTTGATGCTCAAGTCTTCACCCCTCAAATTCCCTCCTTTGGACCCAAAACATACAAAATTCTCCAGATCCGTCCTGAACAGCAGATCAGAGAAGCCCAGGATGCTGTTTCTGCCTGCTGGAGATGTGTCCTGCATCTGAGGTGGGCTGCGAGGGGCTGGGGGCCTCCAGCGCTTCCCTCCATCGCCTGCTGATGCCTGGTGTTTTCTCTCTGACCTTCCTGCCCTCGCCTTCGGGAGACGGAAATCTGCCCATCCCCTAATTGCTCGCTTGCTACTTAGCCCTCGACAAGCACTAAAATCAGCCGGGTTAAATTGCTGCCAGCAGTGACATTTCCTGCCCTGGCTGGGGGTGGAAAAAAGGAGCAAATGCAAGCCAGAGCCTAGAGTGACCGAAAAAGGGTGAGAACCTGCAACCGGGCAGTTCTCAAGCTGCAGAGATGTTCCCTTAATTAGTTACATGCAATTAAACCCGCAGCCTGGTCGAGGGTCACGACACCTTTGAGGGCAAAGTGCCCAGGGGCTTGTTGGGTGCAGGTCAACTACAGGTATGGGATGGAGGTCCCTGTTGTGGGAGGAGAAGAAGGTGAAGTCAAGGACTGAGCCCCCGACAGCGTTTTGTAGGGCTGGGAGGACCCTGCTTAACCCAAGGGCTGGGAGGGGAGGTCTGGCTGGAGGTCAGCAGTGGAGGGGCACGAAGGACGAAGCGTGCAGCCATGTGACATCGAATCCCTGCGTTTGCATCACCATCTCTCCGCAGAGCTGCAGATGGGGATGTGTCGATGGGACCTCCTGCGGTTGTGCTGGTGGTGAGAGTTTTCTGCAGCCCTCCACGAGATTTATGCTGATGAACTGTTGTTTTGGGGTTCTTTTACCACTTTTGCCCTTGTGTCCGATTGTTTGAGGAACTGCTGGGAGCTCTGGAGGCTCCCAAATCACCTCCCCAACAAGCATTTGCATGCTGAAAGCCACATGAGGTGCACTTGCCACCAAAGCAGCTGGGCTGCTGGAAGGAGGCTTCCAGCCGATCCTTGGGAACCCTGGGAAAGGCAGCAGCTTCACAGTTGTATGCAAGAAATGGTGTTTAATTTGGAAGCACAGATCTGAAACGTATGAAATAATGCACAGTTTCGTATGAGGAATACACCTACCTCCTCCTCTGCTGTCCTCAGGAGACATTAACAGCTGAGAGGAAGCTGCTGGAGATGTTTCTGGTGGGTGGAGGAGGTTCAGCTTCCTTGATATCAGCATTTCTTCCCTAATGAAGTGTGATGATAGCAGCCAAGGAGGGAATTTTCTTCAAACCGTTTATGGAAGAGAATTGCAGAGGGGGCAGGCGATTGCCTTCCCACAGCTGCTCCAAAGCTGGAGCGAGAGCCTGGTGGGTTTTTAACCCCCTTTGCTCTTGAGCTGCGGCGTCTCTAATGAGGCATCCATGGAGCACAAGGTGAAGTGCTGAACCTGCATAAACCAACCTACCGCTGGCCTGCGTGAGCTCCCTTACCTCCAGCTGCATCTCCTGAACCGTGGCTCCTGGCCTTATCAGCATGGGTGCAGAATGTGGACCAGACATTAGGACGAGGAGAAGCAGTGATGAAAATAATGAAACACTAATGAATAAGAATTAAGGCCTGTACCATCAAAAATATTAGGGCACTGAGCTCCTATTTCAGTGAATGTTGTGCCCCTCATAATTACTATTTGAGGATCTAAAAGTTTGGTCAGAGAGCAAAGGTCCAGTCTCCCTTTGTGTGGTCTCTGCCCTTGGTTGACTTAAGGGGAATGTGCCCTTAATCCTTCTTCAGGTAGAAGTTTGTGTTGCTATATCCAACGAAGCTGGGCGCCCTTTGGGTAAGAGCAAACCCTCCCAGGGAAGTGACAGAAATGAAATGTGTTCCTTGCATGCATTGAGAGGAGACGGGGGGCAGATGCTGCTGCTTCATGGGCAACCGAGAACGAGCCAGAGGAGCCAAGGAGCCCTTTTAGTGTTGCAGAGGGGCCTCTGAAGAAGCAATGCTGTCCAGGCAGCAATTTGCAAGCTGTGGGGCCAGACCGAAGGGCTGCTGTGCACAAGGACGTTGCCTTCCACGTGCCAAGGGCAAACATCAATGCAGAAAACAATACCAAGCACTTCTCCACATCAAAGATGAC